AGAATACATATAAGCAGCAAATAAAAGAGAAAGCATAACCAGTAAAATAAGCCAAGAGCGTAATCTGACCTACTGCATTGCAAGCGTGACCCTGGACTTACCATCAAGTCAGTGGAGTGTGCAATTTATTACTACTGAAGCCTGTCAAGGCTGTCAAGTTCAGTTCTGCTACTTAAGTTTATTCGGTTGAAACCACACACTACACTTGACATGGATTATGCCTCAGCATTTACATGATGGGATGTCCAACCAAAATTCAAGTTGGTTTGACTATTTAAAAGATTAATCACAAGATTTAGCCTATTTTTATTCTCCCCTCCCCTAAGAATCTACTTCCCATGGTAAGAGCAACTCAGGAACTGGTTCCAAGTTTTGGCCTTTATAAGACAACAGTTAAAAAAAAAAAATATCAGCTATTAGTAATGTTTGATACCTAGATGGTTGTGATAGGAGAACAGTTAAGTGAACCTGAGTGTTTCCTTCGCTGCACAGCTGTTTGAAGAAAGAACATTTCTACGTTTAGCCTTAAACTAGCAGCTAATTAATACCGTATTTAAAATGAGTAAGCCACAAGAAATAACTACCTAATCAAGGTTTGGTAAATCAGGTTAACGCTAAACTGAAAGTTATTCTATCAATGAGTTTGCACTGATAGTATTTGAAAACATACTCCTGACAATACAACATCTACTTGTTTGCACAGCAATTAAATATGCTGTAACTTGAATAAATAATTTAATCCAGAATGCATTAGCAAGCCTTTTTCCTTCTCAAATACTTCAGTGCTAGGAAAGGCGTTAGTTCACGCTGCATTCACTGTTCAATAGAAAGTGAAACAAGAAAGGCGAACCACCTGAAATCAAGGGCACTTGGCAAAACAAAGCTTTAAAAAATCGGGAAAGAGCACAAAACAGTTAACCTAGCATAAGAAACCATAAATACATTCTAATGCCCACTTCATGTTAAGTGCTTTTGTTCTAACATAGGACCAAACACACAACAATGAAGTATCTCTCCTTAACTTCCCCTGAAATGGGGGGGGGGGGGGAAAAACCCACACCAAAAAAAAACAAAAACCCATCAGCCAAACCTTTTAGATTGTTTATGAAATGTTTTCTGCTCTGCATAGGGAACAGTCCACCACCTAATGATTTCAAGCTACAGTTTTATCTGCAGCTTGAAGCACCGCTCAGCACAAATACAGATCTCTGGAGGCAGACACTTTGAACTTTCTCATTTTGCCGTTAAACTCAACTTCTTTGCTGTACATCAAGCTGCAGTGTGCCATTTGGCAGGCTGGAAGAAAGCTACTTGTTCTACCCACAGGATCTGCTTCGTCCTAAGCTTCATGAAATTAAAGACAAGTCATTTCAGCCAGATCTTCCAACTCCACAGATGTTGTTTCTATTTGTAACTTACTGATCAACAATCAGGAGCTGCACAAGTTTCTTAGACAAGGATCAAACAAGTCAACTAAAAGATGCCAACTTCCTTGACATCCCAAAAAGCTTCATGCCAGCATTGCTCTGGCATGTTCCATTGTTCATGGACTGCTGTGCAGCAGCATTGATGACAGTGTTCCACAGTTTACACTTGCAATGGTCACTGGTGCAAATCCAATGGCGCATATTTATTAAGAGTCATGAAACCACATGGACTGTCTGCATCAGAGAGTGTAGGACACCACAGATGGTTAGAACTAGAAACCTGAATTATCCATCTATGCCAGGTAACCTCATTACAAATATGCCCCCCTCGTGAGACGGAACAGAGCAGGCAAGCCATTCTGCAGAGCACTTATCAAAATAGTTACCAGGCATCCTCTCACTCCAGAATTATTCTAAGTACAGGGACTTGAGTTTAAGAGTCTAATTACAAACATTTTATGATGAGACTGTGCTCCTTGCTGTTATATGTCCTATGTGTCATGTTTTACATGTCTGCTATATGCAAAACTCTGGCCTGCAGTAAGAAGTGAGGGGAAAGGTAAAATAATTTAAGTTCTGTACCCACCAAGTCACACACATAGAAGGCAAATGGAGAATACAGAAGTTATCACAATAGTAGTTGTAAAATACTGTCAAAAGCAAATAGAATGCACATACCACTTGGAACACAAGGGAGCAGAATTAACAGAGCCTTAAGCTAGAAGCACAGACTAAGGCAAGAATTCCCACTCCTCTTTCACCTATTCTTACTGTTGAACAGTTCTGCTGACACATTCATCCAGAACAGTTTTAAAGATTTAAAGATTGTGTTTTAACAGCCTGTGTTGACTGTTAAGATTCAGCCATCCTGGGTTGAGCCATGTATTTGTAGTTGTGAAATCCTAATTTGGACAAGTAATCACAGCATCCCCTTTACATGTACAGCTGCACTTTCTGCAATGCAACCTAACAGACAACATGAAAGGAACATGTCCTCTACTTGCAGCAGAAGAGCTGTTTCTGTTTAGTTTACCATTAATTCATTCTTATGCCATTTTAATCTGTACTAATTTTAGATTATGAAATGTTGTACTGCTCTATATAGGGTAGAGTCCACAACCTAATTATTTCAAGCTATACTGTTGTATCTGCAGCACTTGCCCCTGAAGTTAATCATGAGATGATGGGACCCGAGACATGCAGTGATACTGATGGAACAATCTGAGCTTGGCTGCCAGAAGCAGCAGCACCAGCAAGCCTGATGCAGGGGTTGAAGACTCACACTAGAATTTAAGAGCACTGAAGTAAAGATTCTCAGTCTGTTTGCATTTATACTTTGCTTGGTTTGGCCATCTGGTCTGTTCATAAGAGGGACCTGAAAACAACACATTCTTGAAATACAAGTAATTCATAAGTTTCAGCCCTAGCAGAACAGCTATCACATTCTAGATCAGTCCAATACACATGAATTTCTGCATAATGATAATTTTATTGGAATCTGTTAAAAGGTGTTTGTTCAGATCACCTGTTGAGCAGGCAGTTATGCTGCTTCTGTTCACTGCATACATACTGAGCAAGTCTCCAAGCAATACATAAATATTTTTTTTGACTCCATACATATGCATCTTTACTACAAAAAGCAGCTTTTCCTTAATAAAAGTTGTATCCATGGGATCAATGTTCATTTCTTCTAGCAATGACTTGTACCAAATCCATATTAACAATCATAGGTTAAATATACTAATACATGTAACAGAGCTTTAACAGTAAAAAAGTAAGAAAGTTAAATACTGCAACAGTTTAGATACATACTGCATTTGAATGATAGAACAAAGTATGACCTTGCTAATGACACAGTCACCAAAACACAACATACAGAAGCAATGTCAACAGCCAGTACTTGTCTGAGCATTTCAGAGTTCCCCTTTTCCCTTCAAATAAACAAGGGTTGTGCACCTCTTGAATGTGAACTTAGATATTAACCTTACAGCAAAATTGACCCTGATGTTTAAGGCTGGCTAAAGAAACAGACAAGTTAAAGCTGCAGCCCACTAAGTACATATAGCATTTGAGAACCTGAGGAGCCAATGTTTACTATAGCACAGGTTGATTGCCCAAACTAAGTGTGCCCTATGTAACAGCAGCATTAATTGGCAATATCTGTATACAGCCAAAAATGCCACATTACTCAATTAACCAGAGCAAGCTAGATCTTTGAAGTGGCAATTAGCTGTGATGAAGGCTAGGTAGGTATTTTAACAGAAACACCTTGGTAAACTGAAATAAGCTGACCTACAGTTCTCCAGAACACAGGAATCACATTACATGTGTTCTGCCAGTCATCAAGGGCTACTATTTCAGCCAGCATTTTAGATTTTAACCTTAGGGCAGGTTAAAATAAATCTGTATACAATGCAACAAACCTAGAATAGATGTAACTGTAACTGATAAATTAATTGCCAGTCCCTCCTTTTTACAGTTAGAAGCCTAACAACTTTAGGCACACAAGTTATAGCCAATATTTAAGTTCAAATCTAACCATTACAAGCCAGGGAGGCCCATTTCAGAGATTGCTCTTGTGATAGCATTCTAGACTTAAGAACATGCACACACCAGCTGTCCAGAAATACAGAGCTGCTAATAAAGCTGCTAGGAAAAGCCATTAAACATGCACATATTTTTTAACCCGACTTACAAATATTAGTTCAAGTGCACAACATCCAATATGTGACCATTTGAAATAGCCAAAAGGAAAATGAGTGCAAATTACAAAGCCACAAAGAGGTTAGCAATGATTTCCTGATCTTTTCAGGTGAAAATTTAATTACTAGATAAGTAACACCAGACAGGGGTGGAGTCCATGAAGAACATGACCTGTAGGAAAGCCAACAGTCTTGACCAACAACACTGACTTTCTGAGAAGTATGAAAATTCATTCATACTGCAAACTGAGACTTCCACAGAATTATATGGTATCTTACTGCATGTTATAATGTATTATTGCCCTGCAGCTTGTGCAGAAGCTCACAGCCAACTATTAACACACAAAAGTAGTTTAGAAGTTACCATGCATAAGATACAATTAAGCTCTAACAGAATCTCGGGTATTGATTATGGCTTAGACCTGCATTGAAAGTCAACACTTAGACAAATACCCTTACATGAATGACACTGTGAGACGACTTTGTTACACTGAAGACTTACTTGGTTAAAGTGACCTTCTGCTTAGAAGAAACAGCAGACAATATATTCACAAATAATCATATCTATTTTGCAAGAAGTCAGTCCTGTAAGAATTCAACAATACTTTTTATTTTTAATTCATCTTTTCTTTAAGATAATGTGTAGATAACTGCAGATATTTATAAGCAGGCTTTGTTTCTTGAACAGCCAGATCTTTGACAGTTAATTCTTTATGCTCCTTCCCTCCCTCATCCAAGCCTGCCAAATTCAAGACATTGTTCTAGCAGCATTCATGAAATCAATAGTGCAAAGTTATTGCAAAAACTTCTTTTTACAAGCTGTGACACCCTCTTCAAGTTTTTAGTGGGTCGATAGCACTTCCCATGTATTTAGAGCTCTGGGGGAAGTCGGGAACAACAGATTTGCTTAATCTAGCAAGCAACGAATTTGTCTGCTGAGGGTTTTGGGGGGTTTTACTGTTGGGTGGTTGTTTTTTTTATTAGCTGCTCATACTGGCCATTGTTACAACTTTGGTAACTATAGTTCACTATATTAAACTCACAGTTCCTCATCCTGACATGCACCTATAACATGCGAGTTGAACTGCACCACAATAATTGTAATGTCATCTCTATACATTCGAGCCAGCTCTTCTGGAAGACTCAGCATCTTAGACAGCCGCTCATGATCCACAGTGCCAAACTCATTGTGACCCACTGCATGACGTATCAGGTGAGTAGCTGCATTCTGATCTTCAAACTCTGAAGAGATTCTTGCTCTCCTTTCTGTTAAGAGACCATGCATCTGTCCCAAAGTTACCTTATAGCCACCAACAGCTATTGGCTGTTGATGGTGAACACCAGTGAGGTACTCCCCAACAATTCTAGCCACATCTTGCCTGTGCATTGTCTCCCACAGCCCATCTGTGGCCAAAACCAGGAACTTATCCTGTGGCCGTAATCTGTGATATATGACTTCTGGCTCAGCTGTAAGGTATGGGGGAGTGTGGTAGTTTGGAGGAATAAACTTTGTATATTCATTTTCATTCAACTGATCTGGGCCCGATTCTACTACTCTCTTCTGTAGTTCAATACTCCATTTAAACTTCACATCACCAAAAGCTCTGAAAGGCATCAGAAGACCTAAGAGACGATCTTGTTTCACAAGATTTTTCTCTTCAGACTTTGGATGCTCTGTTTTCACACGTTCTACTTCGTTTTTGTTTTGTGCGTTGTGGTCATAGGACAAATTAACTGCAGACCAAGATCCATCTTCTTCCTGAACCCCAAGCATTGCCCTACTGTCACCTGTGTTTGCAATGTGCAAGTCAACACCATCCACATGGGCCACACAGGCAGTTGCACCAGAAAACGCTACTCGCAGTACTAGGTAGTTGAGAAAAGAATTTGAATCTCCTACTTGAGCTTCCAAGGAAATATCATTATCAAGCCTCTTAAAAGCATTAATTAAAGCTTCTTTCACATCAGTAGTCTCTCCACTGTTAAGATCAATAAGCTCCTGCCAGTAAGTTCTTAGACTATTGAAGTAAAGCTTGGAAGCTTCTTTGCTAAAATAATCATTGGGATGCTTGTGCCACTGTAAAATGGGCAACAGAGCTCTGCCACTTTCCACAGCATCTTCTATTTCAAGTAGAGTCTCATGAGGTAATAAAGAAACAGCAATGTAGTAAAACAGTCTTTCACTGACAGCTTGAGCACAGGCACACCCTGCATGCCCATCAAACACACCCAGAAGCATCCCTCTTGTCTGTAAGCAAGTGGCAGCGCTTCTCCTGTCTTCTATTGGAGCATTAGCAGGCAACTGGTTGCTATCAAAGCCAAGAACAGAACTTACATTTTTACCATCAAATTCTGGGACTTTGAAACTGTATTCCTTTGCCTTCAGAATGCTGTTGACCTGTGGAGGAGTGAGGTAAAACCTCTGTGGTGTGGAAGCATAATCCCTCGGGTGAATAAAGTGATTAAAGTTCTCCTTTGGCTTATAAAGTGCTGCAAATTTCTTCTGAGGTGCATATCTGAAGTGACTGTGAGCAAAATGAGCTGATAAGCAACACAGATGTTTATGGTGGCAGTAACACACAGTACTGCCTATTCTGCTCATCTCACAGTTACGGATCAATGGAAACAGATGAGCTGGTGCTGGCATGGCATCAGACAACAATGGAAGCCTGGAGCTTCGGACTGGTATTGCTGAAAGACAAGAGAACAACTGTACTTAGTGGGACAGCTAGCAAATTTTTCCCCAGAGCCCTGTATTAAGACATCTATAGTCTCTAACAAAGCTGCTTATTATATAGAGTTCATAGCTTCACAGGTCTTGAGAATGAGAAAGTATTAAGAGGTACTTGTTTATAGACACTACATTGGGCTGTAACATAAACCATACTTCAGTTCAGCATACATATTTTAGTTCTTATACCCACTCAGCTGGTAGGAAGTGCAAACATCATCCAGACAGATAACACAGCTTCAAACAGAAGTTAAGACAACAGTTAGCATCAACGCTCCACGGTTCTGCCACCTTTTACAAGAATTCTATGGAGATTTGTTTTCTGGTATTTCCCAGGTGACAGAGTTAGATCTGGCACACAGGGAGGAAAATGCTATAAACCTGAAGAGATAAAGCATCTAACAGCAAGATTCAAGAAAGAAATTTGAGATGACATACAACTGTTAAAGATGAAGACAGTTTAAACCACAAAAGGCAAGCAGTAGGGTGATACACAGCAGATATTCTTTAGGCAACCACAAGTCAGTAGCAGGTTTTGTTTCTTCTCCCCCCTTCCACATGTAAAACTTCAAGTTTGTGTGACACCATGGTGTACATATACCAAATAGCCACAGCAGCCTATGCAGCAATTTTCTAGGTTGCCAGATAAAAATACAGGAAGTAGATCCATCTATGCTACCAGTAGCTCATCTACTCAGTAAATTTTAAGATTACAAATTGCTTTATAAAGTTACTCAATTGAAGGACTACATGCAAGCTGTGCATATTCCATGACTAGAATAGAGCCCTGCATAATAGTTTAAAGCTAGTTCAGTCTTAAGGTAAACTATTAAATTTAGTACCCAAGAAAAGGATTCTACAGCTTTTTGACACATCTAAAGCTTTTCCTTATAGTTTTTTATTCTTCTTAATAAAGATTATTCTAACATACTCTTTCTTGTTCCCCTTTATACACCCAATGACAACACTAGTGCAAGTGCCTCTTAAGTCTTTTCAAAATTCACTATACCTCATTATCAGGAAGTCTTTTACAATGATTACTTAAGAATTCCATAGCAGAAAAAGGTGAACTGTGCCTTGTGTGAAGTACACACAGTTAGGGAAATTCAATTTTTCTTTCCAACTTTTTGTTTCATCACAAAAAGCTTCTCAGAAAAGATCATCACAAATTATCTTATACAAGGCTTGCTGCAATCGTAAGTATTAGTCTATCAGAACCACTGTATGTCAGATTTAATTGTTCAGCTGAAAAATTGGATATTGCTGTGTTGTGCAAGGTGTTTCAGTCACTAAATTGATTATTTTTTCACCAAGCAAGCATACCAGTATTTCATGAGGCACAAGCCTAGTAAACCATGCAGTAATCCCCAATACTCAGTCTGAAGATCACACAACATGAGAAGAGCTCATGTAAGCTATCCATAACTTCCAGTACAGGATTCTGATCATCTGGATCAGCTGAGAAGTATCTGGAAATATATGAAGCTTCACCCTATTCTTCATGTTACAAGAAAAGGAAGCAAGTCACAATTCTTCCCTCCAAGCTTGCTTGCTCTCCTTAAGTAATCAAGAGTGGAGCCTATTTCTCTGTTACAAGACGCAAAGGCTGAAAGCAGAGAGAAATTCATGTTTCTACCCCTCCACCGGTTTCCTGCTACTAAAGGAGGACTGTCAGTCTTTACTTACATTAGCAGCAATTCTTATTCATTGACCTCCTGCAGGTCCTGCACTGACAGCTATGACTAACTAACCAGTTTTCTGCTGTTCAACTACCAGGAAGAGCTCTGGTTGTAGTCCTGTGGACCACTGCCAGATGCCCGGACACTCTGCAGCAGCATATTGGCTTGAACTTCCAGATGCATACTAAATTTGTTAGCCATTTGCTTCCCAGAAAGTCCGTTTCTCCAGTCCAGGCTTCACATACATACTGCATGACAGAAGAAACCTACAACTCTAAATTTTGATTTTACAATCTATCCACTGCCTTCCAATTATAAGGGAAGCTATTTTGGTAACAGTTCTGCATATTTCTTCACATGACTTCTAAAACCAGCAATTTTGCTTATGGAACCTCAAGGTTCTATGGATGTGCCCACACCTCAGATTCGGCACCAGTCTCCCATTAGACTCCAACTGAATCAATACATGGTGCCACAGCTACTGTTCTGGCAGTTTTGTTGTTGATCCATGATGAAGCAAAAATACAAATGCATTGCTCTTAAAGTAGCTCTGCAGTGCCACCAGAGGATGTTTTGCTGATTTTTAACCATCAGTTCATCAATTATTACATGAAATTCAACAAGTAGTAAGGAGTTGGCCTCAAATTTTCCCACAGCCTGTATCACTCACAGTAGATCCTTGTCAGCTTAAGATACCAGCCTGTTTTATGTATCAGATTTAATAAATCCTAGTTGATTGGCAAATTTCAAGTTTGGCAGCCAAAACAAAATACTTAAGTCTTTCCCACTTATACCCACACCATACATGCCCCAAATATAACCAAGACACTCCAGCTAGCCCTTAAATTATTACTTTAAGCTCTCTAGTTTCTTATGAAAAGAGATTAAGTAGAAACTTCTACAATCAAACCATCATTTCAAGAGATTAGAATCAAGTCAGTATTAAATACCTCTCCAAGCCCAGAACAGAGTACAAATGCTACTTTTCAGGCTACAAATTTAATACGGCCAATAATGAGTCAATGGTCAATTTATGGGATTTGTAGTATTTATTATCCCTTTCTTTAACAAAGGCTTGTTATAACCATACTATTAAGGCCAACCGATGCTGCACTGACAGGTACTTCCAAACACCTGCCTAACTGTGCCAGAAGACACCCATGGCTCCAGGTAAAAATGCTTACCCCAGGTGCCTTTCACACACTTGACAGACCTGAATGAACCAGCTTGTGGAGGAGGACAGGGAAGGGGGGAGGAGGAGCAAGAAACATTCAACACAAGCGGAACCGTTAATCCTTCCCTCCGGACAGGTCTGAACCCTTGGACACAGCCCGGCCCGGTAGTCCCTTCCCCGGGTCCCATCCGACCCCAGCGCTCCTGCGAGTACCGGTGCGAGATACATACCGATCCGCCTGGGAAAAAAAACATCCCCCGGTCACAACAAGAAGCCGCCACCATCCACAAAGCAGAAGCCCGGGGGGGGGCGGGGAAGAAGCAAGGCAGAGAGTTTGTTAGAGGAGACGAAGAGCTCCGACACGGAGGGAGAACGACAAAAGAGGAGACAAGCACACTACGCACGCCGCCCTTCTGCGGGCGCCTGGAGCCACCG